CCTAGTAGCTTCTTGTTCCTAGTAGTGAGGCCAGGAGCCCCTAGTAGCGTCCTTGCTCCTAGTAGCGATGCCAGGAGCCAGGAGCCCCTAGTAGTTCCTAGTCGTAAGGTCAGGAGGCCCTAGTAGCGTCCTTGCGATGCCAGAAGGGCCTAGTAGCTTCTTGTTCCTAGTAGTGAGGCCAGGAGCCCCTAGACGCTTGCTCCTAGTACTGTAGCGATGCCAGGAGCCCCTACAAGCTTCTTGTTCCTACTAGTAAGGTAGGAGGCCCTAGTCGCGTCCTTGCTCCTGGTAGCGATGCCATGTGCTTTCCGATCATTTATCCCTCTATCATTTGACTCTTTCGATTCCTCTCTCGCGCGCACTCATCGAGAACAAGGCACTCCCACATCTCCTCCAAGGTTGTCCTGCGGAGCTCCTTCAACCTCATGTCGATAGGCCGTCGTGCTGTGTCCCTACCAAGTGTGTGCGGCGCATTTGGGAAGGTCAAGGGGTGTGTGTGTGTGTGTGACCCCTCTGGAGTCACGAGGTTCCTTTTCACCTTTTTTGCTGTTCTTTTAGCAGGGGGCTCGTGGACGCATGGACTTGAGCTTTTGGCCCCTTCTCCTTTTGAAGACCTCGAGGCTCCATAGGGTTTTCTTGGACTGTTCAGGATTTGGGAACCCAGAGTCGCGAGGTTCCTTTGGACTGTTTAGCAGGGGGCTCGTGGACGCATGGATGGCACGGGCCAACGAAGACCCATCCGTGTCATCGTGATACCAGACCTGCTCAATCTGGCGTACCTGCTTGAAGGTCTAATGAGTTCGGCAGTCATGCACGATACGCCGTCAATTGTCGTCTCGATTTCGACTTGAGCTTTTGGCCCCTTCTCCTTTTGAAGACCTCGAGGTTCCATAGGGATTTCTTGGTCTGTTCAGGATTTGGGAACCCAGGTTGGCGTGTGGCAACCGCTTTCAAGTCAGTACGCATAATCTTGAGTGTGTGTGTGTGTGTAACCCTTGGAATCACAGGGAACCCTCGGGTTTGGAGCAGGGGGCTGGAGTGTGCTTCAGATGTCTCCAGCCAACGAAGACGCACCTGTTGCACTGTGATATAGTTCTGGGACGCCAGAACTACGTACCTGCCTGATTTTAACTTTTCCTGAGATGAGTCGTTAAGGGCTAGTTGCATTCTGCAGACGTGCACGTCACGTCGTCACCACCCTGTCGCTTCGACCTTGACGTGCGCGTTTGGCCCCACTTCCTCTTGAAGACCTCCAGGGTCCGATGGTTCTTTCTTATACTCTTAGGAATCGCCTCCTTTCCGGGCAGGATGGAGGCCACACATGCCTCCCTTCGGGGAGGCGTGTGTGTGTAATCCTTGGAATCACAGAGAACCCTCGGGTTTGGAGCAGGGGGCTGGAGTGTGCTTCAGATGTCTCCAGCCAACGAAAACGCATCTGTTGCACTGTGATATAGTTCTGGGACGCCAGAACTACGTACCTGCCTGATTTTAACTTTTCCTGAGATGAGTCGTAAAGGGCTAGTTGCATTCTGCAGACGTGCACGTCACATCGTCACCACCCTGTCGCTTCGACCTCGACTTGCGCGTTTGGCCCCACTTCCTCTTGAAGACCTCCAGGATCTGATGGTTCTTTCTTATACTCTTAGGAATTGGTACCCTAGGCCGGCGTGTGGCACCGCTTTCAGCCACACTACATGCGGATATCACGGCTGATCACCGTGATGTACCGTGATGTACCTGCTCAATTTGCGAGTGTTAATAGTCCATCCTCCTCTAGACTTCAGGCTGGTTATAGGTGGAGACAGGTCTGCACACTCTGCACGTGCCGTCGTTCGCTCTTCGAGTTGAAACCTGTGGAAGTCTTCGGAACGAGCCGTTTCCTGCACTCGTTTTGCCCAGGAACTATTTTCACCTAGGCTTCCGTGTGGCGTGTGGTATTCAGACGTAAGTATCCCAAGTGTGTGTGTGTGTGTCAAGGAATCAAAGTCAGGGTGGCCACCAAAAGAAGCATGGGACGCAGGCAAGTACACTATGGCAAGTTCCTGATGTGTGGTGTTCAGTGGATGTTCTGCTTAAGATTTGCCTTTTCGGGAGCAAGTTAATCTTTTGATGTCCGTTGCGGAGTGCATTGTTTCCAATAGCCTTTGGTGCCGACAGTGCCTTTGGCTGCTTTGGGAGTGCCTCACCGATTGAAATCTCGCGTGTGAGTCGTCGTCTCGGAATGCTCTCCAGGCCACAGTTCCTTCAACTTCTCCAGCTCCTCCATCAACTTGGCAGCGCGCTCCTCAGTCAACGTCCACATCTTCATCTTGAGCAGGTATCCGTAGCCATCCTAAGCTATTCTTTTGGCAGTTTTGCAAATCACTGTGTTTCACGCAACCATTTCTTGGTTGAGTATCACCGGACTGCTCCATTGTCCGAAACATGTTGAAAATGGGATCGCATGGGCAATATCAGGCAATATCTTGGCATGCTCATTGGGCTGGCTCTCACAGTTGAAATCTGTAGACATGACATACCTGCAATTGATTTTAGTGTTGCCTCTACAACCTTGAAGTCTGGAGTCCAAGGCCATGTTTCGCAAATCCACGGAATACAGCCGAAGCTGTTGAATCAAAACTCTAAAAAACTGTGCCCAACTACACCCCGAATGGTGCGGAAGCCGAGGCGCCGGTCCGAACAAGTCCAAGTCTTGGTCGGGCACCGGAATCACGGCCCTGGGACCGACACCGACGATGACCGAGGGCCGCCCTGAGCAACCCCACCCAGGCCCACTCATCTCCACAAGTCCTTCCGACTGGATCAGCAAACCATGAAAACAACCTTCATCCTCCCACTGCCCTGCACCCTGCGCTCGCTTGGCTCGGTGCCTCAACCTCTTTCGTTTTGGCTCTGGACTTCTCAGCTCAACATCCCCTTGCTCGATCTGATGCTTGGTCCGGAAGCCCAAGCGCTGCAACTCTGCACACACCTGTGACAGCCGCATCGGTGCTTGGCATCGAGCGGAGCCCAGCTGGGCAGCCGAAGGCTGGGCACAATCCGTTGCAGTAAGCAGGGGTTGCAGCTTATCCTGCATTCCTGAGCAAGTTGAGTAGATATAGATACCAAGCCTTTTAACAATGCACCAATCTGGCACCAAAACGACCTACAAAGATTACGGAAAGAGTTCCTCCCTACTTGCAGTGACCAAGTCAGACCTCCTAGCCTTGCTCCATGCAAACCCGACCCAAAAGTGGGTTGTTTGGGGCGTCCCGGTCGTCCATCGCGACCTGCTGCGCCGGGCGGTTTTCCACTTCCAGCTCTCCTTCCGCCACCATTCCTGGGGCGAAGGTCCAGAAAAAGCAGGTGCGGATGAACTGGGATGCTGAATATGTATATAATACATGTCTCGGAGGGCTTTCTGCGGGTGCATTCTGCAAGAGCAAGACTTCTAAAAATTACCAACATCTGCAAACCGGACTCTTGGGCTACATGAGCCCATAGCTCAGATGTTTCAGAAAGGCGCCCCGAAACCCTGGCATGGCAACAGTGAAAGAAGGCGTCGTGTTTTGGGGCTGCCCGGAGACAGCTTGAGACACTCGACCGGAACGTCTGGAACGACCAGACATGTCAGCCTCGCGTCGGATGAATTTGGCCTTCTCACTCATGTAGGCCGCCTCCTTTTGAATCTGACGAATCCGGTGCTCCTTTCTCTGCTGGTACCTGACCCCAGACCGGAGAGGTGTTTTGGTCGGGTCCCATCAGCGCATGGCGGAGCAGTCAGCTAACACAACAGCCCAAGGGACACTTGCAGCCTCACAACAGCAAACTCCTCTAGGATCTCCTCAGGTGAGTCATACTTCTTCAACTTCCCCTTTGCATCGAAGAGGAACATGTTGGAGGTCGAGATCCTTAAGGACATTACTCGTGGAAAAACATCTCCCAAAAAAAGGCACACACATGCAAAAACACCATACAAATCCTGGCGCAGGCTTTTGCATACAGGCATACCTGACGTCCCTCACCTCATGCTGTGCTGACTTGCACGGTGACGGCGGCAAAGACTCTCACTAGGCATGGCACCAAGATTTCAAGTGCATGGCCTTCTCAAAGCCTTTCTCTTCAGCAGTGGCCACCTTTTCTGGGAGCATGCTCAGGCTGAAGTGGACCGTGTTGTCTGTATGATGCTCCTTAGCTGAGCCATGACAAAAACATACAAAAACCCTAAATAAGTACCGAATATGTACTTCAGCGCATCGGTCTTGCAGCTTGCAAAGCGGTGCAATGGGCAGGAGGGAATTGCAGCCACAAGTTTGGTGAGAGGGGCGGGTCCACGAAGCAGTCGTTTCCCAAAAGCCCGGTCACCACTCACCTCTTCGCACGCGAGTCAGAGCTGCCAAGGCGCTCGAAACTCAGAGATCATGGCTCGCTTGCCTTGGGACCGCTCCAGTTCGAGCCAGCTCAGCTGGCGATCGTTCACCAAAGCGGTTGGAGCTGCTTGGCCGAGATCCAAGACACGGAGCGAATGGCGGAGTCACTGGCCCGTTCGGTGCGGTTCGGGGGCACTTCCGATCTATGACAACCACTACACCCAAAGTCCGTCTGACCAAAGGCGATGAAGCACGAAAAACACTTGCAGGTGAGGTGCCATTGTTCTCATGCATCTGCTCCATGATCCATTCCTTGTAGTCTTGTGTCCACCTTGGATTGTGGTACCATACTTGGTTTGGAGATGTTTGGAGGGGCTACAGCATCAAACTATGACTGCTCTCCATTCTGCATATAGTTGTATTTGCACATATACACCTAAAGCACCAGCATGTACTTGTACAGTATGTCATATACCATAGCGCGCCCTCCCACAAAAATATCGACCCATCCGTATCCGAACCACCAGGACGTGCCTTCGGACTGGCAACTCGGTCACCTCGATCTTGGTCAGGCCTCGCCTCTGTATCACACCAATGGTCCTTGGAATGGGTCGAACGTCCATTCTCGTCGTAATCCGGACAGGCGGAAAAGGGGAAAAACGGCGGCCTCGCATCGGGGTTGACCCGTAACAAGAATCCTTATGTTTTGTCCCATTCTGGAAACGCCTGACTTGCCGGGGTCTTTGTGGCGGCAGCCAGCACGATGACCCTTTGAAGTGTGAAGTTGGTTTGGGCTCGGCAGTCTTCCATATGCTCTGGCCCGGCTTGCTGGGTCAAAGAACCGTCCAAAAGAATTGCTCAAGACAAGTGGCTGCTCACCACCCTGGCGACCCCACACCACCCTGGCCGCCCAGCGGCTCAAAGCGTCCCTCGTGCTCCGCCACGCGCGCCACGGTGCCGCGGAAGCCGCGGTACCAGGGCACGAGCCGCTCCCCTCGCGGTTGCCCACGGAGGCGCCGCCGGAGGTGGGCGATGAGGTCGCGGGGGTTGTAATTCCTCGGGCGCGGGCGTGGCGCCGTGAGGTCCACCGGCCCCAACGAAGGCCCCCGTGGCGTCTGAGTGACTGGCCTGATGTGGTGGACTTCGGGCTGAAGAGGCGAGCGATCATGGAGATTCCAACTTACCACGAGCGATCATGGGGCCAAGTCCCTACGCAACAGCAACAGACCAGCAGGAGCAGCCCAGCGGCAGCAGACCAGCAGCAGACCAGCAGCAGACCAGCAGCAGCAGAGCAGCAGCAGCAGCAGCAGACCAGCAGCAGACCAGCAGCAGCGGCAGCAGACCAGCAGCAGCAGCAGCAGACCAGCAGCAGCAGACCAGCAGCAGCAGCAGCAGCAGACCAGCAGCAGCAGCAGCAGCAAGCGGCAGTTTGTTACCCTTTACTGTTAGAAGCGGCGGTTGTTATCACTTCACTGTCAGAAGTGGGCACCAGCACCAGCACCGTGCACCGGCACGCCAGCTCACGGCGCCCAGCACCAGCTCTCTCCACCACGCGCACAGCCAGCTCACAGCACCCAGCACCAACACCACAGCAAGCACCAGCGCCCGGCACCGGCCCACCGGCACCCAGCACCCTGTCTCCCGCGCACAGCCAGCACCCAGCACCGGCACCGGCACCCTGTTTCCACCACGTGCACAGCCAGCTCACAGCACCAGCACCAGCACCGGCACCGGCGCTCGGCACCCAGCACCAGCACCCTGTCTCCACCAGATCACAGCACCAGCACCAGCACCGCGCAAGCAGCGCTCTCATTGTTATGGAAAAGCTTAAGCAACAGTTCCGTCAGCGCAGGTACGCCAGGATGGCCAATCCTGGTATCCTATGTTCAGACTAGCTTCGTTGGGCGTAGTCATCTGAACACGCTACGCCCCCCTGCTTGAGAAAATGCAACTAAAAAACGAAAGGGGAGGACCGTTAGAAACAGGGCTTGACACACACACACACATGGCCGTTTTCGGCGCAGATGTGTTTTGGTTTCCACGATGGCTTTCATTTTCCGCAGAAAACGCTGGCATTCTGTGGCGTTGTGTCCCTTTAGGACATAGAGTCGCACGAGTTCGTCGGCCGCTGCAGCTGCTGTTGTTGGTGGGTAGCTGTAAGTGTAAATGGCGTGTAGGCCAGAGGCAAGGCCTGACAAAGCAAGGCGCTGGCTTCCTGCGCCGGTTTCGACGGATCGCCGAAAAAGTTGTGGTGGATCAAGGTTTGTATGGCTGGATGGGAGAGGAAGTGTTCGTTGTGGACAATGAAGCGGTTGTCGACATAGCGGTAGTAAGAGAAGTGTAGTGCTGAGTGGTGGAGAAGGTTGTTGTGTAGCTGGTGCCAGGAGTGTTCGATCAGGGCGACGGCGACGTTGCATAGGGCAGGAGAGAGCTGGGAGCCAATCCCAGCCCCTCGGATTTGCTTGTAGGTGTTGTTACATGCCCGGAAAATACATGTGTTGAGTGTGAAGGTGACAATAGTCGTGATGTCTGAGGTGTGGAGTGTGCGTTGTGCGGGATGCTTGGAATGGTGTCGGCCGACATGGGAGTGGTGAAAGGGATTGCCGGTGGCTTTTGTGTCGACTGTCAGGGTATGAGTCGACTGCTGGGTTTGCCATTGTTGGATCATGGAATGGACGGCATCGAGGATGATGTCAAGCGCTCGACTGGTGATGCGGAGGAGGTTGCCGGCCATGGAGTGGTAGTAAGTGTGGTAGTGTGTAGGTTGGGATTTTGAAGTTGCCCTGGAGGAGTGGTAGTGGAGTGTCGTTCACGGGAACGTGAGCGGTCACGGTGGAGAAGGTGGTGGATGAGGCGAGGTTGTGGAGGGGGAGAAGAAGGCCGGTATGTGAGTGGCAGGAGTGGTGTTGAGAGGAAATTGCTGGCTGTGGGTGGAAAACTGGCGGTTGGATGGCAAAGTCATCGGGCCACAGGTCACTTAAATCAACTCAAAAATACATATCGATGAACAACTGAAATCCACTCCCCATCGACAAAGGGGTTGTGGCTATCCTTGCGTTCCGTGACGAAGTTGCAGATGGGAAGCCCAAGCCACCAAAAGGGTGGCCCAAGGGGCAGAAGAGGGGCATTAAGAGCTCACCTGCCGCTGCATCGAGCTCACCTGCACCTGCCGCTGCATCGAGCTCACCAAAATGCAACAGTGTCTCGCTATCAAGTTTGGAGGCCATCTCTACTAGGTTTGGAGGCCATCGCTATTGTGTTTGGAGGCCATCGCTATCAAGTTTGGAAGCCAACGCTATCAAGTTTGGAGGCCAACGCTACTAGGTTTGGAGGCCATCGCTATCAAGTTTGGAGGCCAACGCTATCAAGTTTGGAGGCCAACGCTACTAGGTT